AATTCCCAGTTATTTCTCCCTGCTCCACGATACTGCCATTTGTAAGAATTTAACCCATTTATGCCTTTAAGCCAGAGGCTGCATTTTTTTGAATTTCTGCAATCAGACCTTAGTGATGACCTGAGCAGTAGGACAGAAATAATTCCCACATACTTAGCGTTCCAATAATGGAACAGTAGGCATAAATGGGTTAATCATAGTACTTAAGGGATATCTGCTATTCATATCATATTACTAGAAAGAAAGATTGATTAGAGGGCCTATCTCTCTTATTCATCCATTTGGCTCCTTACATGTGCAAGTAAAATCCAAGTCAGTTTTGGTCAACTAGCATTTAAAGGGCTCTTATTTTTCCTAAAGAGTTTTTAAGTGTCTACACCAAGTACTTGAGAGTTCAACTACATATATGCTTTAAAAGATGTACACAAGTGGAAGCAATGTCAGCCCCGAAAACTGAGTAGCCGTACTATGCGGGGCACTGCAGTCTAGGCACTTTTTGGACAGTATGTTTTACCTGCTGATGAAACTCCTGCACAAGAAGATTGAGAAGCAGAATCTCAAACTGCGGCAACAATTGAGATTCTAAAGTTGCAGGGAGCCTCAAATCTGACCCTATCAGAAACTCAAAATGGAAATGTGTCTGAAGAAACAATGAGAGGTGGAAAGTTTAAAAAAATCAAAACATTCTATGAATGTGGGCTTATCAAAAGCTCAAAATAAAGATGTGTCTCAAGCAGCAGTGGAAAATACGAAAGTTAAAAAATCTCCCCAGAAATCCACTATATTAACCAATGGAGAAGTAGCAATGAGGTCTCCCAATTCAGAATCAAAAAAGAAAAAGAAGAAAAAGAGAAAAATGATGAATGATGCTGGGCTTGATACAAAAAAAGCAAAAAATTGAAAACAAAGGCGAATCTGAAGAAAGTGCTGAAACTCCTAAAGAAGTAGAAAATAATTCAGAGGAGCCAGATAATGATGGCAGTGAAGTGCCCAGCCTGTCCCTGAGACTGACAGGAGCTTTTCAGGATACTTCATTTGCTTCTCTATGTAATCTTGTCAATGAAAATACTCTGGAGGCAATAAAAGAAATAGGTTTTACAAACATGACTGAAATTCAGCATAAAAGTATCAGACCACTTCTGGAAGTCAGGCATCTTCTAGCAGCTACAAAAACAGGCAGTGGTAAAACCCTGGCTTTTCACATCCCTGCAGCTGAACTCATTGCTAAGTTAAAGTTCATGCCCAGGAATGGAATGGGAGTCCTTATCTACTAGAGAATTAGCCAGGCAAACTTTTGGTGTTCTGACTCACCACGTGCATACCTATGCGTTGATAATAGGTGGTAGTAACAGATCTGCTGAAGCACAGAAATTTGCTAATGGGATCAACATCATTGTGGCCCCACCAGGCCGCTGGCTGTACTATATGTAGAATACCCCAGGGTTTATGTATAAAACCCCGCAGTGTCTGGCTATTAATGAAGCTGATCATATCTTGGATGTTGGATTTGAAGAAGAATTAAAGCAAATTATTAAACTTTTGCCAACATGTGGACAGACTACGCTCTTTTCTGCCACCCAAACTCAAAATGTTGAAGACTTGGTGAGGATTTCTCTGAAAAAGGAGCTATTGTATATTGCTGTCGATGATGATAAAGCTAATGCAACAGTGGAAGGTCTTGAGCAAGGATATGTTGTTTTGTCCTTCTGAAAAGAGATTCCTTCTGCTCTTTACATTCCTTAAGAAGAACCAAAAGAAGCTTATGGTCTTCTTTTCATCTTGTATGTCCGTGAAATACCACTATGAGTTGCTGAACTACACTGATTTGCCCATCTTGGCCATTCATGGAAAGCGAAAGCAAAATAAGCCTACAGCCACATTCTTCTAGTTCTGCAACGCAGATTTGGGAACACTACTGTATACAGATGTGGCGGCAAGGACTGGACATTCCTGAAGGTGACTGGATGTTCAGTATGACCCTCCAGATGACTCTAAGGAATGTATTCATCATGTGGGTAGAACAGCTAGAGGCCTAAATGGGAGAGGGCATGCCTTGCTCGTTTTGCGCCCAGAAGAATTGGGTTTTCTTTGCTACTTGAAACAATCCAAGGTTCCATTAAGTGAATTGAACTTTTCTTGGTCTAAAATTTCTGACATTCAGTCTAAGCTTGAGAAACTGATTAAAAAGAACTACTTTCGATTCCACCAAGACAGCCGAATAGGAACAGCTCCGGAGAACAGTTCCCAGCAAGAGAGCTGCAGAACATGAATGATCCCTGCATTTCCAACCAAGGTACCAGGTTCATTTCAATGGGACTGGATGGACAGTGGGTGTAGCCCAAGGAGGGCAAACCAAGGCAGGGTAGGGTGCTGCCTCACCCAGGAAGTGCAACTGACCAGAAGATCGGTGGGTGACTCCCCACTGCCCCCTGCACTGTGGTTCAGATACCACGCTTCTCCCGTGGCCTGTACAACCCACAGACCGGGAGATCCCTGCTGGGCTGAAAAGCGCCATGAGTTAACAGCACAGATCTGAGCGGCAGCTCTGGCCAGCGCCAGGGGTTGTCAGCACAGATCTGGGTGGACGTTTTAACTAGCACCGAGAGTGCCTAAGGGACAGAGCTGCCTGCTCCCCAGAAAAAGGGGGAGCTGAAAGTAGGGAGACAAGTGATATGGCTGGGTGGGTCCCACCAACCCCACAAAAAGCAGCAAACTGAAGCCCTCTTGTTTGAGAGTTTTGCAGCCAGCACATCAGTTTGAGCCTGACCCGGGACTATTGAGCTTGATGGAGGGAAGGGTGTCCACCATTGCTGAGGCGGTTCTAAACCTGCCTGTATAAGCGAAAGCCAGAGGAAGCTTACACAGCAGCTGGACTGATTCAGTGACAGCTCAGCAGTGCCTCTGTAGGCAGACAAGGGACAGACTGTCTCCTCAAATGGCTCCCTGACCCTTGTATAGCCAAAAAGATGCCTCATACAGGAGAGCTCTGGCTGACACCTGTCGGGTACCCTTATGGGATTGAAGCTACCAGAGGAAAGACCAGGCAGCAATCTTTGCTGTTCTGCAAACCCCACAGGTGACTCCCAGGCAAGCATGGTCTGGAGTGGACCTCCAGCAGCCCTACAGCAGAATAACCTGACTGTTAGAAGGGAAACTAAAAAACAAACAAAAAAAAAATAGCTTCAACATCAACAGAAAGGACGTCCACTCAGAGACCCCATCCGAAATCACCAACTTCAAAGATCAAAGGTAGGTAAATCCACGAAAACAGGAAGAAACCAGCACAAAAAGGATGAAACCATTAAAGACTAGAACACCTCTCCTCCTCCCAGCTTAGAGAAGAACATAAACGATTTGATGGAGCTAAAAAACACAGCATGAGAACTCTGCAATGCATACACAAGTTTCAATAGCCAAACTGATCAGGCAGAATAAAGGACAGCAGAGACTGAAGATCAACTCAATGAAATAAAAAGAGAAGGTAAGATTAGAGAAAAGAGAGTGAAAAGAAATGAACTAAGCCTCCAAGAAATATGGGATTATGTGAAAAGACCTAACCTACGCTTGACTGGTATGCCTGAATGTGACGGGGAGAATGAATCCAAGCTGGAAAACACTCTTCAGGATATTATCCAGGAGAACTTCTCTAACCTAGCAGGGCTGGCCAACATTCAAATCCAGGAAATACAGAGAACACCACAAAGATACTCCTCAAGAAGAGCAGCCCCAAGGCACATAATCATCAGATTCACCACGGTTGAAGTGAAGGAAAAAATGCTAAGAGCAGCCAGAGAGAAAGGTTGGGTCACCCACAAAGGGAAGCGCATCAGACTCACAGCAGATCTCTCAGCAGAAACCCTACAAGCCAGAAGAGAGTGGGGGCCAATATTCAACCTCATTAAAGAACTTTCAACCCAGAATTTAATAACCAGCCAAACTAAGCTTCGTAAGTGAAGGAGAAATAAAATCCTTTACAGGCAGGCAATTGCTGAGAGATTTTGTCACCACCAGCCCTGCCTTACAAGACTTTCTGAGGGAAGCACTAAACATGGAAAGGAACAACCAGTACCAGTCAATGCAAAAATGTACCAAATGGTAAAGACCAATGATGCAATGAAGAAACTGCATCAACTAACGGGCAAAACAACCAGCCAGTAACAAAATGGCAGGATCAAACTCACACATAACAATATTAACGTTAAATGTAAATGGCCTAAATGCCCCATTCAAATGACACAGACTGGCAAATTGGATAAAAAGTCAAGACCCACTGGTGTGCTATATTCAGGAGACCCACCTCACATGCAAAGACACACACAGACTCAAAATAAAGGGACAGAAAACGATTTACCAAGCAAATGGGGAGCAAAAAAAAAGCAGGGGTTGCAAATCCCAGTCTCTGATAAAACAGAGTTTAAACCCAACAATATCAAAAGAGACAAAGAAGGGCATTACATAATGGTAAAACGATCAATGCAACAAGAAGGGCTAACTATCCTAAATATATATGTATCCAACATAGGAGCACCCAGATACATAAAGCAAGTTCTTAATGACCTACAAAGACACTTAGACTCCCACACAATAATAGTGGGAGACTTTAACACTCTACTGTCCATATTAGATCAGTGAGACAGAAAATCAACAAGGATATCCAGGACTTGAACTCATATCTGGGCCAAACAGATCAAATAGACATCTACAGAACTCTCCACCCCAAATCCACAGAATATGGATTTATCTCAGCACCACATCGCACTTACTCTAAAATTGACCACATAATTGGAAGTAAATCACTTCTCAGCAAATGCAAAAGAACGGAAATCATAACAAACAGTTTCTCAAACCACAGTGCAATCAAATTAGAACTCAGGATTAAGAAACTAACTCAGAACCACGCAACTTCATGAAAACTGAACAACTGGCTCCTGGATATCAACTGGATAAACAATGAAATGAAGGCAGAAATAAAGTTGTTCTTTGAAACCAACGAGAACAAAGACACAATGTACCAGAATCTCTGGGACACATTTGAAGCAGTGTCTAGAGGGAAATTTATAGCAATAAATGCCCACATGAGAAGTGAAGGAAGATCTAAAATCGACACCCTATCATCAAAATTGAAAGAGCTAGAAGAGCAAGATCAAAAAAACTCAAAACCTAGCAGAAGACAAGAAATAGCTAAGATCAGAGCAGAACTGAAGGAGATAGAGACAGAAAAGACCCTTCAAAAAAAAAAAAAAATCAGTAAATCCAGGAGCTTTTTTTTAAAAGATCAACAAAATAGACCACTAACCAGACTAATAAAAAAGAAAAAAGAATCTAACAGATGCAATAAAAAATGATAAAGGGGATATCACCACTGATTCCACAGAAATACAAACTATCAGAAATTACTACAAACAACTCTATGCACATAAACCAGCAAACCTGGAAGAAATGGATAAACTCCTGGACACTTACGCCGTCCCAAGACTAAACCAGGAATAAGTTGAATCCCTGAATAGACTAATAACAAGGTCTGAAGTTGAGGCAGCAATTAACAGCCTACCCACCAAAAAAAGTCCAGGTCCGGACAGGTTTACAACCGAATTCTATCAGATGTATAAAGAGGAGCTGGTACCATTGCTTCTGAAACGATTCCAAGCAATACAAAAAGAGGGAATCCTTCCTAACTCATTTTATGAGACCAATATCATCCTGATACCAAAACCTGGCAGAGACACAACTAAAAAAGAAAACTACAGGCCATAATCCATGATGGACATCGATGCAAAAATATTCAATAAAATACTGGCAAACCAAATGCAACAGCATATCAAAAAGCTTATCCATCACAATCAAGTAGGCTTCATCCTGGGGATGGAAGGCTGGACATACACAAATCTAGAAACCTAATCCATCACATAAACAGAACCAAAGACAAAAACCACATAATCATCTCAATAAATGCAGAGAAGGCCTTCGACAAAATTTAACAGCCCTTTATGCTAAAAACTGTATTGACAGAATGTATTTCAAAATAATTAAAGCTATTTACGACAAGCAAATAGCCAATATCATACTGAATGGGCAAAAACTGGAAGCATTCCCTTTGAAAACTGGCACTAGACAAGGATGCCCTCTCACCATTCCTATTCAATATAGTATTGGAAGTTCTAGTCAGAGCAATCAGGCAAGAAAAAGAAATAAAGGATAGTCAATTAGGAAATGAGGAAGTCCAACTGTCTCTATTTGCAGATGACATGATTGTATATTTAGAAGACCTCATCGTCTCAGCCCAAAATCTCCTTAAGCTGATAATCAACTTGAGCAAAGTCTCAGGATACAAAATCAATGTGCAGAAATCACAAGCATTCCTATATAGTAGTAACAACAGACAGAGCACCAAATCATGAGCAAACACCCATTCACAACAGCTATAAAGAGAATAAAATAAAATACTTAGAAATACAACTAACAAAGGATGTGAAGGGTCTCTTCAAGGAGAACTACAACCCACTGCTCAAGGAAATAAGAGAGGCCACAAACAGATGGAAAAACATTCCATGCTCATGGTTAGGAAGAATCAATATTGTGAAAATGGCCATACTGCCCAAAGTAATTTATAGATTCAACACTATCCCCATCAAGTTACCATTGACCTTCATCACAGAACTGGAAAAAAACACTTTAAACTTCATATGGAACCAAAAGAGAGCCCGCATAGCTAAGACAACCCTAAGCAAAAAGAACAAAGCTGGAGGCATCATGCTATCTGACTTCAAACTATACAAGGCCACAGTAATCAAAATAGCATGGTAACTGGTACCAAAAGAGACACAGACCAATGGAACAGAACAAAGGCCTCAGAAGTAACGCTACACATCTACAATCATCTGATCTTTGACAAACCTGAGAAAAACAAGCAATGGGGAAAGAATTCCCTGTTTAATAAATGGTATTGGGAAAACTGGCTTGCCATGTGCAGGAAGCTGAAACTGGACCCTTTCCTTGCACCTTACGCTAAAATTAACTCCAGATGGATTAAAGATTTAAACATAAGACCTAACATTATAAAAACCCTAGAGGAAAACCTAGGCAAAACCATTCAGGACATAGGCATAGGCAAGGACTTCATGACTACAACACCAAATGCAATGGCAACAAAAGCCAAAATAGATAAATGGGATCTAATTAAACTTAAAAGTTTCTGCACAGCAAAAGAAACAATCATCAGAGTGAACCCGCAACCAGCAGAATGGGAAAAAATTTTTGTGATCTACCCATCTGACAAAGGGCTAATATCCAGAATCTACAAAGAACTAAAACAGATTTACAAGAAAAAAACAAACAAACCCATCCAAAAGTGGGTGAAGGATATGAACAGGCACTTTTCAAAAGAAGACATTTATGAGGCCAACAAACATATGAAAAAATGCTCACCATCACTGGTCATTAGAGAAATACAAATCAAAACCACACTGAGATACCCTCTCATGCTAGTTAGAATGGCGATCATTAAAAAATCTGGAGATAACAGATGCTGGAGAGGATGTGGAGAAATAGCAATGCTTTTACACTGTTGCTGGGAGTTCAAATTAGTTCAACCATTGTGGAAGACAGTGCAGCAATTCCTCAAGGATCTAGAAATAGAAATTCCATTAGACCCAGCAATCCCATTACTGACTATATACCCAAAGGATTATAAATCGTTCTATTACAAAGACACATACACACTTATGTTCACTGTAACACTGTTTACAATAGCAAAGACCTGGAACCAACCCAAATCCCCATCAATGATAGACTGGACAAAGAAAATATACACCATGGAATACTATGCAGCGATAAAAAAGGATAAGCTCAGTCCTTTGTAGGGACATGGATGAATCTGGAAACCATCATTCTCAGCAAATTTGACACAAGAACAGAAAACCAAACACTGCATATTCTCACTCTCAGGTGGGTATTGAACAATGAGAACACATGGGCACAGGGAGGGGAAAGTCACACACTGGGGTCTGATGAGGGGTGGGGGGCTAGGGGAGGGACAGCAGGGGGTGGGATGGTTGGGGAGGGATAACATTGAGAGAAATGCCTGAGGTAGGTGATGGGGGGATGGAGACAGCAAACTACCATGGCATGTGCATACCTATGCAACAATCCTGCAAGATCTGCACCTGTACTCCAGAACTTAAAGTACAATTTAAAAAAAAAAAAAAAGAAAAGAATATGCAATTCTGAACATCAGTATAATTCCTCTCCTTTTTGTTGCTATTAACAGGATGATGGAAAATTTTCACTGTTTTCTTCAAATTTTGTGACTATTCATAGATAGTATGTATATATAGTGTGTATGCGTGTATACATACATATATACACAAACATATATATAGGAGACTTTCAAGATCAAGCTAGAAGTGCATATGTACATGCTTACATGTGTGTATTTGTGTGCGTTTCAAACATTTCTTGAGTGTCTGGGGAAGGCCTGCCATGATAGTGTTTTCCCAAACTATCTCTTTTCATTCTTAATCCTGTGTAATAATAGATAAGATTCTCTCCATTTTAAAGGTGAAAAAAACGAATATAGCTACCCAAGGATATATGGTTAATATGTTATAAAGTCAATACTTAATTGTATGTTAGTCCTTGTTCTGCTAAATACTAAATTATATAAAAATAATCAGAAAAAACAAAAACAAAAACAAAAAAACTACTTTCTTCGTAAATCAGCCCAGGAAGCATATAAGTCGTACACATGAGCCTATGGTTTCAATTCTCGGAAATGGATATTTACTGTTAGTAACTTACATTTGCCTCAAGTTGCTCTGTCATTTGGTTTCAAGGTGCCTCATTTTGCTGATCTGAACATCAACAGCAATGAAGGCAAGCAAAAAAAGCGGGGAGGCAGTGGTAGATTTAGCTACCAAAAAAACCAAAAAAGTTGAGAAGTCCAAAATCTTTAAATACATTAGGAAGAAATCATCCCATAGCAGGCAGTTCTCTCACTGAAGACATGCCTTTAATCTTGAATAACTTTGTCCTAAAATGAATTTTTTCCCCCTTGATTTAACAGGATTTTTGCAGCCTTTAGAATTTAAACTTATCTAACAAGAGTATAAATTGACTTGGGTTGCAAGCACTGAGCATTGTTACTTCTATCAGCTCTCTTGTTTATTTCTGGAATATAAAACAGGCTTTAATTGTCTTGGTTGCCCAAGGGCAGAGCAAGGAATATCTGGTCTTTCTTGTGATTATGCAATATTTTAATTTTAAATAGTCCTCCCCCATACACACAAATGTATGTTACTGTTTTAATATAATTCTTTTTGTACCTTAAAAAAAATATGTACACAAATGCAGTGGCTTTCTCCAACTTACCTCTGCACAAGCAGTTAACTTTATATATGTCTTGGTATGGGTTGAATTGGGTTCCCTGAAAAGACACGTTGAGGTTCTAACCCCCAGTGCCTCAGAATGGGACCTAAGTTGGAAATGGAGTTTTTATAGAGGTAATCAAGTTCAAGTGAGATCATTAAGGTATCATCATATAAAGGGGACATGCACACAGGGAGGATGCCCCATGAAGACTGGAGTTGTGCTGCCACAAGCCAAGGCACTGCCAGAAGCAAAAAGAGAGATGTGGAACAAGATCCTTCCCTCATGGTCTTCAGAAGGAACCAACCCCACCTACACCTGATTTTGAACTTCTAGCCTCCAGAACTATGAGACAAAAAGTGTCTATTAACAGCCACCTACCTTGTCATACTTTGTTATGGCACTCTAGCAAATTAACACATGTTGCTTTTCAAAGTAATGTAAAATTTAACTATATTACATTTTAATAAACTAAATGTTTCAACTAACAGGCAGATTGTCAGAAGAGATAAAAGCATGCTCAAATGTATGTTTTTTTTATGAGAAACCCACTTCAAATAAAAACACAGATAGATATGAAAGAACATATATCATGCAAATAGTTAAGTATAAGAAAGCTGGAATTGGCTTATTTTAATACCAGATAAAATATTCAAGACAAAGTATTATCAAAGACAGAGGTGAATAATAAAAAAATGTATATGCTTCAAAATGAAACACTGACAAAATTAAAGGAAAAGATAATTCCACGGTAATAATTGAAGATTTTTTTTTTGAGACAGGGTTGCCTAGGTGGGAGTTCAGAGGCACAATCACTGCACACACAGCCTCGACCTCCCAGGCTCAAGGAATCCTCCTCCCACCTTAGCCTCCTGAAGAGCTGGGACTACAGGCATGCACCACCACACCCAGCTAATTTTTGTATTTTTTTTTGTAGAAACAGGGTTTCATTATGTTGCCCATGCTAGTCTCAAACTCCTGGGCTCAATGGATCCACCCACCTTGGCCTCCCAAAGTGCTGAGATTACAGGTGTGAGCCACGGCACATGGCCAAAAGTTGAAGTTGTTTTCTTTGTGGGTTTTGTGTGTGTGTTTTTTTTAGAGTGAGTCTCACTCTGTTGCCCAGCTGGGAGTGCAGTGGTATGACCTTGGCTCACTGCAATCTCCACCTTCTGGGTTCAAGTAATTCTCCTGCCTCAGCCTCCCGAGTAGCTGGGACTACAGGTGCACACCACCACGCCCGGCTACTTTTTGTATTTTTAGTAGAGACGGAGTTTCACCATGTTGGCCAGGCTGGTCTTGAGCTCCTGACCTCAGGTTATCTGCCCGCCTCAGCCTCCCAAAATGCTGGGATTACAGGTGTGAGCCCCCACCACACACAAAAACACCAAAAACCACGAGTAAAGATATAAAATATCTGCAGCTTGGGAAACATGGTGAAATTCATCTCTACAGAAAATACAAAAATTAGCCAGACATGTGGTATGCACCTGAGGTGCCAGCTACTTGGGAGGCTAAAGCGAGATGATCTCTTGAGCCTGAGAGGCATGAGTTACAGTGAGCTGAGACCAAGCCACTGCACTCCAGCCTGGGCAATAGAGTGAGACCCTGTCTCAAAAAAGAAAAAAAAAAAGACATAAAAGGCAATTACCTTAACCAAACTGACATTTATAGTGCAGAAGACACATTCTTTTCAAGTGCAAAGCGGTATGTTCACCAAGAAAGATCACATGCGGGGCCATAAGACAAATCTTAATAAATTTAAAAGGAATGAATGCACAAAGTATGTTCTCTCACCGAAAAAAGAAATTATAATTAAGATATTAATAAAACATCAAGAAAACCCTATCTGGAAATTAATGTACTTTTTTTTTTTTTTTTTTTAGACGAAGTCTTGTTCCTGTCCCCCAGACTGGAGTGCAATGGTACGATCTCAACCCACTGCAACATCTGCCTCCTGGGTTCAAGCAATTCTCCTGTCTCTGTCTCCCGTGTAGCTGGGATTACAAGCACCTGCAACCACGGCCAGCTAATTTTTGTATTTTTAGCAGAGACAGGTTTCACCATGTTGGCCAGGCTAGTCTGGAACTCCTGACCTCATGTGATCTGCCCGCCTTGGCCTCTCAAAGTGCTGATTATAGGCGTGAGCCACTGTGCCCAGCCACAACGCACTTCTAAATAATAATCCATGGGCTGGTCAAAAAAGTAATCAACAAAGAAAACTGGAATATACTTTTAACTGATATTGAAAATATCACATTATCAAAATTTGTGGGATGCAGCTAAAGCAGCACTTAGAGGAAAATCTGTAGCTTTAAAGGATATGTCAGAAATGATGGTCTCTAAATATCAATGACCTACCACCTCATACCCATTCGAATGTCTATAGTAGTAAAAAAAAAAAAAACAAAATAACAAGTCTTGGCAAAGATGTGGAAAAACTGAAACCCTTATGCACAGCATAAGGTGGGGGGAATGTAAAATGGTGGAGCCACTGTAGAAAACAGTATAGCGGTTCCTCAAAAAATAAAAAAAAGAAATTACCATATGATCCAGCAATTCCACTTCTGGGTATACACCCAAAAGAACTGTGAAAGCAAGGACACACCAGTATTTGTACATTCATGTTCAAAGTAGCATTATTCACAACAGCCAAAAGGTAGAAGCAACCCAAATGTCCACAAGACATGAATGAATTAATAAAATGTGGCACAAATACACAGTGGGATATTATTCAGCCTTAGAAAGGAAGGAAATTCAGATATATGCCACAACACGAATGTACCTTGAAGGCATTATGCAAGTGAAATAAACCAATCATTTAGGAACAAATATCATATGATTCCAATTACATAATGTATTTAGAGAACACTCAGAGACAGAAAAGTAGAAGAGTGGTTGCCTGGGGATGTAGGGAGAGAGGAATGGGGAGTTAGTATTTAATGAGTACAGAGTTACACTTCTAAAAGACGAAGAGTTCTCAAAGACGGGTAGTGGTGACGGTTAACAATGTGAATGAGACTTGATGCCACTGAACTGTACACTTAAAAATGGTCATGATGGCAAATTTTATGTTATGTGTATTTCATCACAATTTAAAAAAAAAAACAGTGGCCTATGTGTCTACCTTAACTAGAAAAAGAACAAAGCAAACACAAAATAAATAGGCAAAACACAGACATAAATCAAAGAAAACAGACAAGCCATAGAAAAAATTAAAGCCAAAACTTGGTTCTTTGAAAAAATAAGCAAAATTGACAAACCTTTAGCTAGACCTATTAAGAAGAAAAAAAAGAAGAAGGGAAAAAAGTGCAGGTGGAGCAGCAGAAGGGAAACCTGTGAAAGAGATATAGAGAATAAGCAGCATGGTAAGAGTTATTTCAGAAACCAAGGGTAGAAGGTATTTCAAGGAGTGGTGATCGACAGTGTCAAATGCTGCTGACTGGTTAAATAAGATAAAAACCAAAGTCTATTTGATTTAGCCACAAAGGAGTCACTGATGACTTTATAACAGCACATAAGGGAAAGAAAAGTAGAAGAGTTAGAAGCAAGATTGCCATAGACAAAGAAAGAATATACAGAAATGAGGAAGTGAAAACTGTGAGTACAGACAATTCATCATAGTTTGGTTCTAAAAATATAGCAAGGGGGTTAGCTAGACAGAAATAAGGGGTCAAGAGAAGATACTGATTTTTTACAGAATGGACAAGCTAGAAAATGTTTTTTTCCCTCGTTTTTCTCTCAGATTTTTAAAAATTAAAGTAAAATATAAAGAGAATGTTTTGATTTTTGTTGGAAAAGACACAGAATAGAGGGAAGAGTTAAAGATAGAGGAAACAGGTGACAACAGATGGCAAAATCCTATCCTTCTACCTTCCCTAGATAGGTAGAAGGAAATGGTATTCAGAGGATAAGTGAAAGGATTAGCCTTAAAAAGGAGGAGGCCCAAGGACTGGGGAGAGAAAAGAAAGAGTACAGCTATAATTAAGTTTATTGGTGGGGTGTTGAGAAGTAGCGAGAGTTCTTGTCTGGCTTTGGCTTTACTCCACTTTCAAGTAGTAAGAAGAGGTAGACTCCTGAGAGAAGAGATGAAGAAGTAAAATTTTTAAGAAAATAATGGGCTAGGCGCAGTGGCTCACACCCGTAATCCCAGAACTTTGGGAGGCTGAGGTGGGTGGATCACCTGAGGTCGGGAGTTTGAGACCAGCCTGACCAACATGGAGAAACCCTGTCTCTACTAAAAATACAAAATTAGCCGGGCATGGTGGTGCATGCCTGTAATCCCAGGTACTCAGGAGGAGGCTGAGGCAGGAGAATCACTTGAACCCGGGAGGCAGAGGTTACGGTAAGCCGAGATTGTGCCATTGCACTCCAGCCTGGGCAACAAGAGCGAAACTCCATCTCAAAACAAACAAACACCATTTAATACCTGTAAAAGGATAGCAATATCCTGAGGTAACAATACCAAAATTGTAAAAAGGCCAGGTATCAAACATTTGTAATTTTAAGTTTTAAGGATTTTTTTTAAAGCTATATAAGAAAAGTATTAAAAGGGAAGAATATTCAACATGGAGACAAGAAAGAAGAAAGATGTTATTCTCTAAGAGTGAAGCATTAATAAGCTTCACCCACCCATTTCACTCTTGCAAGACAGAGTTATCAATGTGAAATAGCATGATAATACAAGTCAGTGGTTTACTCCAGGGTAAGTTATGTAAAAATGTGCCAGCCAATATCAACTTTGGCACTAATAATATTAGTGAAAAAATTAATTTAACACTCAATGTGGCCTTCAACCAGAAGTATAATACAAATGTAATGTATCCTTTTACTTTTTAAAGACACACATACAATGACTATTTTAAATCCTACAGCTTGGAACATTTCTAGCTTATTGCTTAAAAATGGGGTAAAGTATTATTTCTAATATAAAGAAAGGAAAACTAATGTTAACTTTTA